TATGTTCCTCTATTCAGCAGAAGTATGCAAATTTAAGACCAAAAATTTTCCGAAAAGCTTACCCATCAGTTCATTGTTGTGGTGCAGATTTTCCACCAGATATTTTCAATATAGCTTAATGTTGAATAAAGCTTGTGCCTTCATTTACCATACCAGTGCAAGTTTTCCACCAGAAATTTTCTGTTCATTTCATTTATCAGAGCGATGCAAATTTTGCACCAGAATTTTTCAATAAATCATGCTCCTCCATTCATCAGAACGGTGAACCAAAAATTGTCAGCGAAGTTTGTTTCACCATACACCTTTGTGGATCAATTTTCAGGCTTTACCTTTTCGTGCACCATAATGGTGTAAATTTTCCACCATACATTTTCAATGAAGCTTACCTTCATCAGAACGATGCAAATTATGCATCAGAAAAATTAATAAACCTTGCTTCTACATTCACATGTTGTGAACTTTCCACCAGAAATTTTCTGTTAAATGTGCAGTTCCAGATTTTTAGCGTGATTCAATTAATTCATTATGATAAGTCATTCATTTTGATTAGTCCCTCCATGCACCACCTAAAATATTTATCTTTGATTTACCACCACGAAGTTTAATTTTTTCAAACTTTAATTTGCCCTCTTGTTTAAACCCTCCATGAGCCACCTTGAAAAAAAAATTGCACCAGATTTTTTGTATTTTTTGACTTTCATTGAAGTTTGTTCTTTCACGCACCTTTGTTGGGTCAGTTTTCAGGCACCATATCAAAGGAATTGACGCAATAAAAGGTTTTCATTTACCTTCAAATCAAGTTCAGGTTATTTAACCTTAAAATCAAGTTTTGTAAATGTGGAAATAAAAATCTTATTTTTAAAAGGGTGGGCAATTGCCCCCACCTTGCCCCACCCTGTGCACGCCAGTGCTCGACACCTAGGTGTACCGAAAGGTTATGTAATAAACACTTGAAACAAAAGTTTGATCTTAGGCCCGGAAATTCAAACCAACCCAAGTAACAATTTAACAGCCTATTGGCTTTAACACTGATTTATTGTGGTTTTATAACGGTCAATAAGCAATATTTTCAGTTTAAATACAGCACTTAATATTGAAAAACATTCTTGGTTAGTATTTCAGCTTTATGTGGTTTCAAAACTTTTTAAAGTCTGACGATAAAGTCAGAAAGTGTATGGTCTTAAAAATGAATTAATGCAGTGCTCTATTCAATCGTTAACTCAATCGATATTGTTTTATTGATGTCACGAAAAAATGCTCCATAAAGGTGCTTTAGCATTATAAAAGGAATCATCAAACCATCCGGTTTCAAACGGGATCAAAAAGCATATATTGTTGCTTTTTGGGGTCAGTAAAGCCTATCACAAAACCCCTCACTGTTTACAAATTAAACTAAAAAGATTGATCCGCCTAGAGACAGAGAAAAAAATAATCTAGTGGTGCTTTCAAAAGCAGGATCACAAAGGAATCGAATTCCAGACCTTGATGAGATGTCTAGCAGCTCCGACAAAACCGGTCAACAACAACAGAGCAGCTGACAGAGAAGAGTGAAGTGAATTCTGCCCACAAAGCACTGGAAGCCGTCAAATTAGACGCTTAAAATTGAAGGGAATACGCAAAATATGTTACGTTCTAATCTAATCTAATCTAACACAAACACAGCCAGTTCTTGAAAGCATCCTGGAAAATAATGGATATACCTCCATAATTTTTCTTGTCTATTTGATATATGTTGCATCCACGATGCGTCACACATATAAAAACGGCCAGGCCTACTGTGCAGCATTTAAGGGGCAAGATGATTCAGAAAACATCGGGCCTGTTTAAATCGAAGATTTAAACACGATGCTTCAGAATCCAATAAAAGGATGAAACGTGGACATCTCGTACCGTACGTTCCGATTTTGGTAATTATATGATTGGTTGGTCGTTGGAAGCATCAAAGCTAGAAAGGTTAAGTGATGCTCCATTTTCTTCTGACGGTTGGGACATGAGCACTAACTCTTGTCCTAGCCTTTTATGGCTTATGCCTATAGTGCCATTACTCGCTTTCTGAAAAAAGAAGAGATAAAGGAAAAGGAGAAGGACAAAGGGAAAAGGATTATTTAAACTCTATGAACATAATCAATATTTTAATTTGAAATATACAATATAGACTTGCATATCAGCGGTGGTCACTACCCGAGTCTTGTCACTATTATCAAGTCAAAAAGTAACTAGCACTAAAATGTAATCCTTTCATTACTGAAAATCCTGATTCTCTAGTTTGAAGTTGTCACGACTAGGATTCGGTGGTAGATCTTATATCAGTAACGTCAGTCTTATAAAAAGGTGATTTTCCAACGTTACTGGGTTGAAAAGATAAAAATTTACAAAATGGAACGAACCCACCAAGTTTGGCCAATTGAACTGAAGGCTGGCTGACATGTGTTGATGTAGAAGTCCAAATTGTAGACGGCGCTGGACGAAGATCAATATGTACTAGTCCGGTTTATGGTAGTTGCGCGGAATGTCTTCCGTCGATTTGAGAATACAAATATCCGGATGTATGGAGTCGATTTTTGATGTGCATTGGCAAGCCTTTTCGTGGCTAATAGTCAGGTTCAACGCTGTGACTCAACGAATGATGGAACTAATGATGGGACGAATCGAATGATGGGACGCCTCGTGGAGATTCTACTTGTCTTCGTAACAGTTTCTCAGCGGCAAATACTAGGGACTGAGGAACTAGAAATTGTCTCCTCGGCCTGGTTTTGGCCAGATCAGCAACAGATTATAGATAAAAAAAAAACTCCACGGAAAAAACAAACGTCAGGTTTGATCACACGCACAGCCTACTCTCCTTTTTGCAATGGCGTTTGCGTTACGTTCTGAATAAAAACAGACCAGCCTTCTACAGAAATTGTTTTTCGATGATGATCCGAATAACATGCATCAATGCCAAACTGGGACTGCCGACAGGAAACTTCAGCAGCTGTCAGTTAGCTGTAAATTGACTGCCTTCCCAACCATAGCAGCGATTTCATACGGCGAAAAAGTCAACTGTTCCAAAAATTCTAGGCAAGTGCACATAAATTTCATCGCAACATCGGGAACGGTTGAGCATCCACCTGTTCCAAGTAATGTAGATACACGCCCTGATCCAGCGCTGGAGTGGAACCATCCGGTGGAAACTAACGATTTTCAATTGACTCACCACTTGTCTAGCGTATTGGTCCCAAGCAAATCGACTAGCGTACCCCATTCTAGTCGAAAATTCTATGTTTGTGTTGATTCTCTATGAAAGTTTAACAGATAAAATGAGGGTTGCGAGGATTTTCCTATGTTGCATCGATTAGCTCGGGACCGAAGATAGTACCAGAGCTGAGCTAAAAAGTTGAGGACGTTTCTTCGGGACCTTCTGGTCTTAGAGTTACCTCTATGGTAGAACCTTATTGCAATGATCGCACATCAAAACTATCGAATGATAAACAATTTTTGACGTTTAACTTTTTCCAGGCAACTTTACCCGTCATAAAACTTAATGGAATTGTATTAAGTAAAATGGGATATGGATAAAAACAATTCAGTCTGCAAATTATCTTCATACAAGCCGCATTAAAACCTTTTGCATTTTTTAGCGATTTCATGAAAGCAAAACAGATTTTTCACAAATGGCTTTTGGAATATTAATAATTTATGATATCGCCATATTGTTATTATTCCATTTGTTCTTTTACTATCTACGGTGTTCAAGATGTTTTTCCTTGAAATTAACTTTATTCTCATCACTCAATCAATTAGCAGTTATAGAGATTACGGAAATCATCAAATTATCTCGGTTGGGCGCAATGATCAATATAAAAAAATAACTGTTCATATTTTGTTTCCTAAATTAAAAATAGTTTGTACAATCAACATTTTCTGAAAGCGGACCTATTTTTTTCGATCTTCCGAAGCACTTTTCACGTTAGATTTCATGTGTCACCTAAAAATATTTTTGGTAATTCTTAATTAATGAGGATTTTTTGACAGATTCATTTTCGAGCAATGAATTCGGCCAGATCGGATGATTTTTATGTATCTCGTTTTATCTTGATTGATGCTTGATTTTAAGTGCGCTTAGCAAGCGTCAATGGCACGAGTTTTGATGCCAAATGGCTTTTGTTGTAGTTTTAATAAGGTTTTCAAACGGTACTCAGTGCTTCCACACATATTTTCATCCAGTCAATTCTAAAGCTGCACGATTATTACGAATTGACGTATATAAATACATCACGATCGCCTAAATCAAAACAGTTTTTAAGGAATCCTTGCTCAACTGTTACTGCTTTGTTAATCCATTCACACAACATGGATTTTGTACGACGATAAAAATGACAAATGTCGCGACAGTGGAATTAAACTTAACCTTCAGGTGGAGATGACATAAAATAGCTCTGCACGTTATTACCTGTCCTGTTCATTGACGTCATGGTAGGTCCAAGCAATTATCTAATAAAAACCGAAGAATAAACTTCCCGGTTCTGTTTTCCAAAGAACTCAGTACAGTCTGAGTTATTTTTGAGAGTGGAGGTGCGCTTCATTTAGGCATTAGTAGCATTGCCCAAGTATTTTATATATATTGTAGTGAATTAATTGACGTGAATTTTGCAACTAAAGTGGTAATTAGAAAGTGTTATTGAATTTCCGACATTGATCATCGAAGTTTGGACCTTATATCACAGCACATCCCACCATTAACCCAACGGCTTATTAAACCTAAATCGCATCAATCTCAAGCGGTATATTTCGGCCCAACGGTCCCAAGTAAATCACACACTTCAAAGATCCATGATTCATTACGCAACGATCCGTGCGAAATCTGACCGGCTTAACCCAATTCGCCAGATTAGCTAACCGTCGCTTCCTACTCAACCAAATTCACCTCTCTGTTATGTAGCATTTCTCTTATACACTTCTTTCTGTCTATCATTTATTTTGTTTGGTCACTTCACAGAAGCCCGCGAACCTAGGAAAATCAGCACCAATTACGTGACTCTACCGGCAAATCTAATAATCATCAACGTCGCAACGGAACAGTGCCAAGGATTGGCAATGAGAATGCGTTCGATGACCCCAGCCCTGGTGCTAGTGCTAGCTGCCAGCATGTTACACCTAACGATAGCACAAGAAATGCGTAAGTATTGCTTTTTCGTTGCCGATCGAACGGACGACGAGTTCTAATGTACCTCCCTAGGCATTGCATCCACCGCTGCTGCAGCAGCACCGGTCTGGCTGTGGCTGCATTTGGTCACATGTGTGGCGTTCTATGTCATTATGAAGGTACCGACGTTCCTACCTACTTCCACTCGTCGAACAGCCTGATGAACCGGCAAACCCCAGTTGAGTCTCGATGGCTTAAAAAAAAAACATCATCAGCGCTGGGTGACAGGTTGGCCGCTCGAGAGAATCTGGTTCTCCGTGAAGATTTGTTGCAATCTACTTCTCGGCGCATAATTTCTGCTGGTGGTGTTCATGCTTTAGTTGCTGCTCCCAGCCAACCCAGCACCGTTGTAATTGAAACAACAACAAAAATGGTGGGGAGGGAAATCGCATCTCCGAACTAGCAGCGGCGACAACACACCGTTGTTGCTTCCAGTCCATTCGTTTCTGATGGGGATGTGCAATTTTCTTGAATTGAAAAAGAAATGTGATTGAAATTGATATGCACGAAAAAAAATCAGAATTTTGTTGGTGATGTTAACTATGATATACAGAAGCACCAAGTTCATGGACTTATTGGGAAATTTTTGTTTTATAAAACAGTTCATTTTAAAAAATGGCATGAGCTATTTGCCTGAAAGAACTGATGATATTGATGATGTTTCTCACAATCGTTCCGTCATTCTTGTATCTAGAAAATCAGTTGGTGAAGCGTCTTGCAAAGAGTTTTCCAAAAGGGATTTCCTGACTTTGACAGTTCCTTGCGGCCATATTGTTAAAGCAAATTACCATGGACAGTTATAGCGTTATAGCATATAGGTAACTCTAAGTCTAGTAGGTCCCGAAGAAACGTGCTCAACTTTTTGGCTCAGCTCTGGTACTATCTTCGGTCCCAAGCTAATCGATGCACCCCTCGAAACATAGGAAAATCCACGAGCCCCTCAGATTTTCTGTCAAACTTTCATAGCGAATCAAGACAAACATAGTGTAGTACTAGAATTTCTACTAGAATGGGATACAATCACTACGAAACTAACGATTTTAAATTGGCTCACTACTTGACCAGCCTATTGGTCCCAAGCATATCGATTAACGTACCCCATTCTAGTATAAATTCCAGTACTACACTATGTTTGTTTTGATTTTCTATGATAGTTTGACAGATAAAATGAGGGGTTCGTGGATTTTCTCATGTTTCGAGGGGTACATCGATTAGCTTGGGACCGAAGATAGTACAAGAGCTGAGCCAAAAAGTTGAGCTCGTTTCTTCGGGACCTTCTGGTCTTAGAGTTACCTCTATGGTGCTACCGAGAGGACTATTCACAACGTGGTGAAAAAATTGGAGGAAACTTGATCGGTGCACGCTCAACCACCACCACAAACAATTATGCAAATGTTCATGCTAATCGGAGAAGGTCGAGTTTTTGTCGATTCTTCACTTGGCGTAAAACTGCTGTCATTAAAAATAACCCTTATAATTTCTGAAGATTTTTGATTTTCATGATTAGAGAAAAATTTATACCACGAGCAATGTTTTCAACAATCCTGCACATTTATAAAATCAAGATATCTCGACAACCGAAAATTGTTGAGCTCTCAAGGATAGAAAATTATTACAAATACTGGACTTCAAGTCTTTATCGAGATTATAGAACTTGGAACAATGCTGAAGATTTTATAATTGTATTTTTTTTTTTTTTGACTGACGATTTATTTTTCAAGATCTTTGTATGCTTGTGTTATAAATATTTTGTAAAATATCACATAAATTCCAAAATAACAAATGGATTGGCATCAAAAAAGTGTTGCCCGAGCAGGAGAAAATAACTTCTGAATACCCATTTATGTTTCTAATTCCATTTGTGGTGATCAGCCTGATATCCCGAGCAGGAGAAAATACCAAATTCAGATATGAAACCTAAATATGATATTGTTGAGCCTGTAATAATAGGTAAATGCCAACAAAAAACATGAAAACATGTTCTACGAATAACGAACTAATCCGGGAAATGGATGTAATGTCGGCCTTAATGCCCCTTATTTGGGCCAATGACGTATGATGTCACAATGACGCGATCATCTAAATAAAATTGATAAATAGCAGATTTTTAGCGATGTGCCCAATCTTAGATCCATGGGCCAACATTAGAGCCATTTTCCCTACATAATTTATTTACTATAAAAACCGATGGACAACAAACGCTTTTTTGATGCCAGAATACCATAATGCCGTAATCTAACGGAACTATCAACTCTATGCTTTCATCTACTCCATCTATCGTATAAACATTACCACTACAGTCTGTTATTTGAAATTAGCATCTTCAACTATGTAAATCGTTGACTTCACGCAGAAGAAATACTAAAACATATAGTCAAAGTACATAACTCTGGATGGGAGCATACCATTAATTAGAGGGTCCAATTTCCCGGGTCTAAAAAAATCCCGGGATTCGGGATTTATTTATTTTTGAATCCCGGGAAATCCCGGGATCCCGGGAAATTTTGATATGCTTTAAAAAAAAAACATTATTTTCAAAAAATTAACTCAACTTTAAAACTTAACAATGAGTAAATAACAAACCAATTCAACTTTAAAACTTAACAATGAGTAAATGAATGAATGAATATAGACTCAAACATGTTATAATCAGTTGCTCCTCTTAAAATAAGATTTCAAGAAGCAAAGTTCATGGATACTTGCATCTGACAGTGATGATCTCCTTTTGGAACAGATGTTCACCGAATCCGAAAAAGCTCTCTCGCTATCCGTTGAAGTTGGCTTGATGGATTTGAGAGCAGTTAACAAGATTTTCAGACCAGCTGTTAGGTCTCCGGTCAACTCGTAAAAAGAAATCTCTTTTTGAATGACCTTTTGAGCAATGTTTCCCCGATCGGATTTTTTTGTCGTTGGCATGCTACTAGATCCAGCATGCTGTTGGATAATGGTTTCCAACTCGTCCTTTAAAGATTGATGTTGGTTCTTACTTGTGTCATCCACCGTTGCTTCATGTTGGTCGTCGGAAGTACATGTGAAAAAACGAGTACATTCTTCTTTGACGAACTTGAACAGCTGGTTGCGTGAAATCACAGGTAACTCAACAGATGATGTTGAGGCAATGTTGTTCTGAAGAAATTTTAGAAGTGAAACCAATTTGATGTTTCGTCTCTCATTGATTCTCTTCAGAACCGCCTCGTAGAGTTTCGTTGAAATAGGGTTGCCCATACTCTTAAGTTTTGATAACAAAAAGCTCAGACTACCTTCCGCCGTCAACAACGTAGCATCTTGACGTCCTAAGGCTTCCGAAACGAGTCGTATTGGCTGCAAAGCTTCAAAGAGGGAACTGACCGAAATAAAATCTTCACTGGATACAAAGGAGCTTTCTCCCAACTCTTCGAGTGTTTCCTCTACACAATCATGTAATTTGATATACCGCTCCAGTATTTTTTCGGTGCTATTCCATCTGGTTTTTACATCCAGCAAAAGCTGAAGAGGTTTCTTGAATCTTCCAACAACTTTATTTTGCAACACCGAGTTTTTCACCGGTGAATGACGAAACATCCGAACTACATTTCGGATCTGCTTAAGAGTTTTTCCAAATGTTTGGTATTGTAGCAATCTGAAAAATAAATGACAAGATAATGATAGAAAAATAGTAATATGAAAAACAAATAACAGAAGTTCATAGCGTACCGGATGAATAGAATTTTTCGTTATCAGAATAATCGTGTCGGTCTTCGTTGTCACTATCTTCGTCATCAAAATCCTGAATTTCAGAAGAAGAATGTTCTTCACTTGCCGTGGACTCGGATTCGTTGGAGTTCATTTGATTGATGACGTCTTGTACGGCAAGGTGCAATGCGTGGTTGTAGCATAGCCGGTGGAAATATGGCACGATTTTCCCAAATTTTACCATTACCGAAGCTGCGTCAGATGTTACGGCCGTTATAGAGCCAATGTCAATGCCGAAGTCCTTGGTAACTTGTTCGATAGCATGGGCAATCTTTTCTGCTGGGAAAGATCCGTGAATCCGAGACAATCCTAGGTTGTAACATGAACCATCTGCGAAATGAACGTTAATGTTCAAGTATCGCTTGTTAGCAGAACTGGTCCACTCATCTGTTGTAAGACTGACGAGCTCCTTTTTTTTCAACGATCCTGTCGTGAAATTCCTTCTTGGTCTGATCTTTAATTTCATCGTAGAACTCATGGATGAGTTTGATTATTGTGGATTTGGATGTTGGCAGTTTAAATCCTCTACCTGACACTGACTCTCGAATAAACTTGCTCTTCGTAATGGCAGCAATCGATATCCCGTCCAATGCAGCTAGACGTGCAACAATCTCGCGAAGTGAACTTCGTTTCAGAAACGGATCCAACGACGATTGCTTCACGGTTGAATTAACGGACAACTTGGTCTGCTTCGCCGGTACCGGAGTTGGTTTTGCATTTGGCAAATTATGCTTATTTTTTAGATGCCGCCACAAACCACTAGTTGAAGCACCTTTGCATAACAGAATTTGCGGACACTTCAAACACTGGGCGCGCTCGTCGGGAAGTTTCTTAAAATGTTGCCACACGTCCGCCATAGCTTCTGCAATTTATTTAAGACAAACCACGTAAGACCAACGCTTTGAGGATAAAAAAAAAAAACATTTATTTTACCTGCTTTGAGTGTAATTACGACGCGAATCAGTATTTGTTCCGGAAATATCATCATCATTGCCATAATGATCATGATTTTTTTTTTGCTTTTTTCAGTCTGTGAATTAGGAAAGACGCATGTATTCAGGTTGACGGAATTGCAAGCTGAACATTGCATTAGGTCCTAAGTAACATTGACAAATTCTCTTCGTCAACTTTCTCTTTATATTCCCGCGGCAATGTAAATATATTCTCAGGTATTTTCGGTACACAGATCTACAAAAGAAGCTTTTATCTAGCATCTAATACGACAAACACAACAAGAAACA